ATGATTCATCTTTCCCAACTACATTAACAGAGCCATCAGTAATGGAACTCTGCATCAAATACAAGTTGGAAGACTTGGAGCCTTGAGCTACAACAAGGGAGCCCTTAGTGAGTTTCCACTGCCCATCACTAAAAGAACTGCAATAGCCACATCATCTAGCTTTCCCGCAAAAATTAAATTGAGCTAAATATCAGGTGCATGCTTGACATCCTTAAGGACCAACTTTGTGCCATTGTTGGTTTGCAAGCAAACTATTCCTATACCAATCACCTTAATTTGGCCATCATCACCCATCTTCAATACCCCAAAATCACCGAAAGTATAAAAAGTGAAAAAATTCCTTCCTAAGTGTAACATGGTATGCAGCACCAAAATCCACAACCCAGCTTGTCTCATGAGATGCAAAATTGATGACATTTTCATCACCAGCGAAAAGAAGATCTCCGTCAATGGCAACTGCAACACGGTTCTCATTATCATCGTCTTTCTTGTTCCCCTGCCTCATCTCCTTTTTAAGCTGAAAGCAGTATTTCTTGATATGTCCCTTTTTACCACAATGGTGACATTCAAGATCTTTGTACTTTAGCCTTGACTTGCTTCTACTTTTATCTCTACCTCCTTGACCCTTATTTTTGCTTTTCCCCCTATCTTCAGTGACTAGAACATCTGACTGTGAGGTTGAAGAAGATGCAGCCTGATTAATTCTTCTCACCTCTTCATTCAAAACACCAGCCTTAGCATATTCCATGGTCATAGCACCATCAGGAGCAGCATTGGTCCATGAAACCCGAAAAGCTTCCCATGAATCAGGCAAAGTATTAAGCAACCAAAGTCCTTGAATCTCATCATCAAATCTAACACCCATATTAGACAAGCGATCAAGGATGCCCTGAAAATCACTAACATGATCTGAAATAGGACTTCCTTCTTTGTACTTCAAGTTTATCAACTGCTTTAGCTAGAACAACTTGTTATTGCTAGTTTTTGAAGCATAGAGTGTCTCAAGTTTTTCCCACAAAGTTCTTGCATGTGTCTCATTTGCAACGTGATTCAAGACATTGTCTTCTACCCATTGCCTTATATAGCCACAACTTTGATGGTGCTCAAAAGTCCATTCTTCATCAATCAAAGAATCTGGTTTTTGAGTCCTAAACACCAGCAAATGCATCTTTTTCACAAATAGGAGATCTTTCATTTTAACTCTCCATTTCTGATAATTTGCACCATTTAAGCAAATCATTTTACTTGTATTAGCCTCCATAATTCAAATAGATATCTAAAAACAACAAGCCAAATGCTCTGATACCAGTGTGTTGGGAAGAACGTGGTGTCACCTGAGCACAGCGGAAGCAAAAGCAGCACCAAAATCTTCCCCAATCTATTTGAAATTGTTAGGAACAAGCTAAATTGAGTCCAAATAAATTATGGCAGCAGTTAAAAATATGCAGAACAGTAAAAATAGCCAAGGCAAAGCAACCACACAAGAGACACAATATTTTACGTGGAAAACCCCAAAAATGGGTAAAAACCACGGGATATCCAGTCCACTCAAAATAGCTCCACTATGATAAAAGTGAATACACAATATCCTCTTCTAAAAAAGGCACAAAAACAACACCAAATAAGAGGAACAATAGGCCACAAACCAATAAAGTAAAAGGGACCACAAGAAAACAGAGCACCAAAATACAAGCTACTGTTCAAGGCACAAGAACTGAACCTACAAAGCACCAAACAAAAAACTAACCGTTCAGATTGTAGATCAAAGTCTTGTGAACCCACAGACCAAATTTCAACTCAATCCAACAGTGAACTTCTACGGATCAAACAAAGTTGCAAAACTACGCACTATACCAAATCTCCAAAATTCTCCCCTGCTTTTTTTCCCTTTCTGCCAGCTGGTCCCTTACGTGTTCTCCACTTTCCGCTATCCAAATCAGACTCCTTTCTTTGTCTTAAAGGGCTGCAAAATGTGGCTTCAAGTGGGCTTAACAAGTGCAGGCTTAGTCCACAAATATTGGCCATTTCTCCACATAAGAGAGATAGGCCTAACCCAACAATCAAGACATCTTAATTTTTCATTTTTTAAAACCACACAAATTGATTTTTTTAACTGTTAATAACAATTCATAAATGTAATCATTAACCAATAGAACAATTCATATTTATTAAGAATTTTTTAAGTTTATGATTTAAGAATTAAAGAACAAGTTAAAAATATAATAAATATATTTTTTATTATAAATTTATATTAAAAATATAAAAATTAATTTT